ACATAATGTTTCGCACGCTCTTTATTGCACAGGCGAGATTTTACATCTTCCTGCTTTTGTCTCAGTTTTCTGCAGATTCTCTTGTTTGGAATGGCCTTCTCTGCCAAGGAAGTCGTTAAAGTTCGCTCTTTGCCGAGCAGCTGGTCAACGAGCGAACTGTCTGCCTACCAGATTTTGCAGCATTCGGCTATATAAAACTAAACAAGCAGCGCAAAAGTTTCCAAAAAAAGATGTTTTTGCAGTGTCCTTCTCTTTTTGTGCTTCTGTGTGGTTTGCAGAATTGCAGAAAGCTATATTAATTGAAACCGTTGCTGATGGTGCCTTGCCAGCTTGGAGTTCCTGCCAAGCTCGCAACTTCGACAATGCAAATATCATCAATCCGACAATCCAGGCTCAAGAATCTTACCCAACGCTAGTAGTAACAAGTGCCACGCTAGTAGCAACAGGTGCCTTACTAGTAGTAACAAAGAAGCTATTAGAATTACTTTAAAATATACGTACACCTTCGGGATCTAGTCACATATCTTGGTTGTGAGCTTAGTTTGTCGGCAAACCATGGGGAACTGGCATACGCAACGGGCACCTTTTCTGGAGGTTGAGGCCAAGGGGACGGCTTGGAGCTCACCACGTTGGGTGATGCCTCCGCCGTGGAACTTGTGTCCTCCTATCCCCAGGTTTCTGGCGCTAGCCACCAGGGTCACAAAGCTCTATGAGTGAGACCAATGCATCCAATGGATCTTCTTCTTTCCCCGATCGCACCAGGGCAATCTCTTGAAGGAGTGAGGCAAAATCAAGGACTCCTATCCTAGGTCAAAGGCATTATCTTCCTGAAGGTGCAAATATTTCGACAACTCGACCACAATCAACAATCCAGAACATCTTCTTAGGAAAGCTAAGTGTCTCAGCATTGTCATCCTCAGAGTGAATGTCCTGCCGGTAACCTTGATGTTTCCACTTCGTCACCAAGGTGTCCATTTCATGAGCTGGCATCCCGGCGTTGACCTTGCGGGATGAGGGATGGTGTCAACCAATGAGTCCCTGACACGTTTGAGACATTGACAGGTCATCTCAGAGATTGAATTGGTCTTGATCTTTATCTTCAAGACCTCAGTAACTTAAAGGACGCCGGTCTTGCAATAGAGAATCACTAATCTTGCAAACGATTGGTATGAATTGGTCAGAATAGCTTGTTCCCTGAAAGGATGCCCCCACGCTTTGCAAACACGCTCCGGGCATATTTAGATTCATCGTAATCGACTGACAACACAGTTCATCCCTTGTCAGATGTTGTGAGCTCAAATTGGTGTGGACATATTCTATAGGTAATGATATGTGATATGTCATATTGGCTCCAAGTGACGGCATTGGCCAAGGTCCGTCGAACACCGGAGGTTGTGAAGGCTTTCTTTGAGCCTCCTGCCTCCTGACAGGACAACTGGAGATGCCAAGCCTAGCGGATTCCTTAAAATCACCTTGAGCACATAGCCTTCATCACGGTCACATTGGGCCCATTCCCCAAAACCAAAAATTTGCCCAAACCAGTGCCATCCTCTCGTGCGGACATGCTTAGAAACGACTAGTAAGTGTTGTATGCCTTCATTGCTGCATGTCCAGCGTTGCTTCATGTCTCTAGCAACCCAAGCCCCTAAGCCGCTTAGCCCTGCCTGAAAGATCCGTGCCACCGCTGCCAGAGTCTCCTGTGCCTCCGACGGGCTATACCGGTCAAAGTCCATCTTCACAAAGCCTTCGGGTGCCTCGAGTCTGTCTTTGGTGTCGCCACATCGGACTTCTTTCAAAGAACGCACGGAAACAACCCCCAAACATTTGTATGGTATTGTAAAGAAGTGTAGTGCTTTTTCAAACTTCAGCTTGGTCTCAGGAGGTTCTCCACCAGCCGCTGCCATATGCAAGGCACCATCTACCACCAAACGCTTCACGCGCACATCCACCTTTGCAAGGATGTTCAAGCAGTTGATGTCATGCACTTCACGCACAGGTGACGGAGCATACGAGGTGCTTCCAAGCACTTCCAACTTAGTTTATTTAGGCATTCTATTGTGAGCTTTGCCTGTTCCTTGTCTCACACCTCGCTATGGACGTGGCAATGCTCCTCACCGTCCATGTCTCGACACACGCAGCGCCGTGTCCCAGGAGGAGCATCTGATAGTCGCAAGGGGTTGGAGATGTCCATGGAGGGACGAGCATTCACCTCCAACAGCCACCTGAGATGGAGAAAAATTGAAAAAAAAGCCATGTCTAGTGACTTAGTGGTTTAACAGAAACCGATGAATACGGGCGTAGCAAAACTTTGGAAGACTTCGTCATGATCCTAAAGGAGCCCACCAAACAGCAAAGTGGCGGCTGGAGTGCTGAATCCAGCAAGACATCCACCCCAAGAATCTGAAAGCAATTGGGTTCATAGAGGTCTTCGTCTTCTTCCTGAAAAGGCTTCAACAAGGAAACTAAAAGCTTTCCAGGCCGAACTAAATTGAGAAGGCACTTCCAAGTGCACTGGCCTCCTCATCTTCCTCCTCAGAGTCTGCTTTCCCTTTCTTTGGGGATTTTGCCTTTGTCTTTTTTGGCTTTGGCTTGGACTCTTTGGCCACACGGTCCTTAGTTTTGGATTCGAATCAAGTGTGTGACAGTCGCATAACATTTGTCTGAACAGACCGAATGAGATCTGACTGATGCTAGCTGCTAGGCCCAGGCTATTTCCACATTTGCGGTCTGGTTCTGCCATGGCTCATACGTTACTTTCATGACCGGCGCCATCGCTTGCAAAAGCACAGCGCAAACTTCCTCGAAGGATCGAAAGAGCTTCTCCTCATTAGACGCATTCAAGTCGTTGTCTGTCACTTTCAAAACCAGTCCACAGCAGCACTGGCCGTGACAAAGCGATGCTGACTGTGACGCCAAAGGGTCACAAGGCAAAAGGCACCATTCTCGACACGCGCGCCTCATCAAAGGTGCGACCTTCAGCGGCCTCTTGAGCTGCCATTTGGCTAAGCAACGTGGACAACGGCCGCTTTGAGGCCTTCGTGTGAACCTGCAGCAAGTGATGACAGCAACTTGCTAACATATCCAGGAATCAAGAAAAGCAAATGCAAGAAGACCAAGTGACTTGATTCAAGGACTCTCAACCCTGATATCGTTGCCATGGTGCGTTGAAGGGATCCTCATCTTTGAAGGCACTGGACTTCTTGTTCACCTTATTCTTGAAGAAACAATGGAACTCAGCAAGAAACACCCTATGTCACAACCAGAATCAGTATTGCCGCTCGATTGTTGTACAATAGGTGCTCTGCTTCCAGCGCGTGCCAAGTGACGGAGTAGTTTGTCAGGTGCATATAGGCTTCATTGGCATTTGCTGCAGTTGGAGTCTCGTACTTGGCGGTGCAGAAACGGGCCAAGCCTTCCCGGCACAAATAGGCGCAAAGAGGCTCAACTGCAGTGACCACCACATAGAGGCGAAGATCAAACTTCAAACCATCCAACAGCAATGGATCCGGCAAATATCCTTATGCGGAACCAACGATTGAGCCAGCAAATGCCAAGCAATGGGGGCAAATTGATACCTTTTGTTTGAAAAATAGTTATTGCCCCACACTGTACCAAGTGAATCGAAACGCGTTGCCTAAGCGCATTTGAAGCGTCGCTGAGCCAACGCGCCAAAGCCAGCTCCGAAGTGAGGCTTCGCGGAGAGCTTGAGACGAAGATCTGAAGAGTTCTGCACCTCAGCTCTGGCGTCAAAAAGCTGCGAGAAAAAGCAACAACTGGCATCAAGGCCAGTTTGTTCATCTTTGGCTCGGGCGAGAAATCACAAAGCCCTGGGGATCCGTGCCAAGAAAATGCCGTCACCCTGAGAACCGCCTTCTGGTTTCACGATGACGGTGTCCGACTGCAAAAGCGAAGACAACAACCACCAGGGCTCCAATGCTTCAACCAGTGGCTGGAGGCAAGCGGTTGCCAACAAACAAACAACAAACAGTCGAACTATCTGCAACCTTACTAGGAGCAAGAACGCTACTAGGGGCTCCTGGCCTTACTACTAGCAACAAGAAGCTACTAGGAACAAGTGCATCGCTACTAGGAGCAAGAACGCTACTAGGGGCTCCTGGCATCGCACTAGGAGCAAGAAGCTACGAACGGGGCTCACCGGGTCTGAAGCGTGCAATGAAGATGTTCGAAACTGGAGGCCGGTCGCCGGCCTTATGCTTGTCGAGCCAAGTGCACAATTCGTCCACCTCTGCCGGCAGGAGCCAGCTCTTCGGCCAAAAGCGAAACTTCTCTGGCCACATCTTCCTGAGGTTGAGGACTTACCAAACACACAAATGTCACATCAGCCCCACATTGAACCCTCCAAGCCGGCTGCACGACTCTGCTCTTCAACACTGCTTTAGGAGGTGTCCCACACATAGCACACCACTTCTATACTATAACTTCAGTAATTACTACACTTGGATCCTCCTTCACACAAGCAGTTTGGTAAGTGATTGCACCGTACCGCGTTTTGAATCGCCCAGCTTCCCTGTTTTCGAATTTCAGCAATCCCACCTTTCAAGGAGCAGCCAAGTGATGCCAAGCGTCTGCAGCAGCCGCAAGGCTAAGGCCATATTCACTTTGTCCTGAGGCATCGAATCGGGCAAGGGGCCAAACCGGCAAACACGAAGCAGGTACTTACTTGCCCTGCAGGAAGAAAAGGCCGTCATGTAGAATTAAGGGTCCCCAACAATATGGTAAGGTATACCCGCCCATGGCAATCTCGTTCAGGACAATACGGCAGTAGCATGCATCAACAGCGAGGAAGCAATGAGTTTTGTCTTTGCCGCCATGTGAGCATCTCTACGTTACATGTCATTACATGCCTACATATGGATTCCTTGTGCCTTTATTTTGGAGCTTGGACCTGGAAGGTCCACATCTTCTGGAACCACCTCAAAAGGGACATGCGTGGTTTAATGGTTTGTAACTTCCTGCACCCAACGTGTGGTAAATCGCGTCGGTATCCCCGCGTTAACAAGGACGTCCCGCATGCAGAGTATATATTATATATCCGTGTATCTATATCTAATTATCTCATATTAATTGTATCTATTTGCCGCTGGAATGTGCGCAACATCTTCCTCGAGTGCATTCCAGCCCTTACCGCCACAGTCGCCACGGGCATGTATGTTCGAGCGAGGGTCGCAAATGTAACCGATGCCTGGAAAGCGATTCACCCAGGAGCTGCTGGGGAGTCGTGGGATCTTCTCCGTGGCGCCGGGGTGGTTCAAGCGCTGTAGCAAACCCTGGCCGCTCCACACGAAGAAAATGACTGCCTCAGTTGGAGAAGTACGCGGTGGGTTTTCGATGGGGTTGCAAATGTATGATGCGTATGTTTATACTTCAGCAGTCAAACACAAGTTGAGTTGCACCCAACGTTGCAGGACATACGGAGCTAAGCCTGCTAAGCAGCCTGGGTGTTTGAGGCATCTTCAATCTGCTCAAAACGCGAGTTCTCATCACACACGATGTCCAAAAGCGGCCTACAGCCCCTCCTGGTGAGCAAAGTGGGAGAAAAGGCAAAACTTTCTCACTGGGGAATCCAGCACTATTGCAAATACTTGCAAATGGCGTCCTGAGACAAGCGCTGATGTTGATACCCATCTTCTTGCCCTTCTTCCCTGCCTTCTTCTCACTCTCCTTCTTTGGACTCACAACCGCATCGCAGTCACGGAGAGCCATGCGATGCTGAACCAAGTGCCGAATCATCCATTCAATGGGATCCTCTGGCTCGGCGCCCGCCAGTCCAGTGACCATCTCCTGAGTGCAAGGAGCTGAACTGGATCTGCAATGGGCTGATTGTCAGAAGGAGGTGACTCTTCTGTCACACTGAGTTTATCTGAGTTTCTGTGAGGACGGTGTCCAGCCCGTGATTCTGAAAATAGGAGTTCCAGGAGTCAGAACCATCCTGAGAATCTACAGGAGAACAGTCGTCTTTCCATGTTTGAGCTATCTGAGACAAATCTGAGACAGGTGCGACATCTGTCACCTCTCGCAACTTGCGAACCGCTTCCACGCCGGAGCCCGCTGGAAGTACCGAGTCCAAAGGCTCCACGGAGGACATGACGCTCCCGTTGAGCCTGGAGCCTCTTTTCGGAATGGAGAAACCATGAGAAACCTCGAAATCCAAGTAGTTTCGGCTATTCCTGTGCGAAGTTCAACGCTTCACGGGTGTGTTTGCACCCGGGGGGGGCCTGGTATTGTACAATGTCTTTCAATCAAACGATCGAGGTTGAGCAAGTTCCTGAACTCGGAAAAGTTCCTCTCCGTTGTGCTCTTTCATTGGCTTTGTATGGGCAATGTGCTTCTGGAACGCTTTTTGCACTTCTGTAGTGACTTCAGAGCCAGTTGTTGCAGCGGGCAGCCCTTTCCTACTGCAAACGAATCCGAATGTCTACTTTCAAAAAGGCACGTCCCAAAAACTCGCTCGCTGCAAGTAAGTCGTAAGTCCTTCATCTGTCGCTTGACCCACTCCATTTCATTGGCGGTGGCCATCTTGCACACGTCTTGCTCTAAAGCCTCGAAGGCCAATGCGGGTGCACGTGCTGCACGTGCTGACACCAATCCCCGTACATGCAAACGTGCAAACCAAATAGAAACCGATATCTTGTGGAGTTTTGCGCACCAAAGGAGCCGCACATGTTGTTTTGCCATTCTCCCCATATTCTTCGCTTGACAACCCCATAAACATGGAGTCATTGGCTTCCATCTGCTCAGTGGTTCTACCGTGCTTATTCAATGGTCTTAGGTTTTGAGCTGGGCTCGAAATTAAGCACGCTCCACCCCAAAGGGAAGTAGCAATCTGGAACAAAACCATCGCAAGCCGCTGGAGTGAAACACAACGTAACAAAGTCGCCGAAGCATGTGATTAAACTCCCTGAACTTGAAGACCGTGTGCGCGGCAAGCTCGCAAATTTGCAAATGAGTATTGTTTATGCTGTGCGTTGGTCTGCGCCTTCAAAGCCTCTCCGGCTGCTTGAAGCTGAGACATCTCGGCCTGCCACAAATCTCAATCACTGAGTGGGGATTGGGAGCAGCAGCCAAAAATAAAATGATATTTAATTAAAAGACATATATAAGCATCTAAAGCCCCCAATCCGACTTGACTTGCCCACAAAGGGTGACCTGACACCTCTCACTGAACATGACCTGCCAAATGCTGCAGGTACTAAGGCATCTCGTGTGTTTGGCACCTTCGTCTCGACATAGCCGCCGATTTGCAAGACCTGCTCCTCTAGCCGACGGAAGGCTGTTGCCTCAAGGACAAACTGGTCGCAGGTACAGCGAAGGGAGAAAGTGTTGTTCTGGTCTGGTAGCTCAGGGGAACGTCCAGTTATACACCAATCGGACACCTTGCAATGCCGATAGTCCGATAGTTGGGGACAGTAAGGGATGCATGTTCTGCAACATCGTGATTGGGAAGATTTAGATATGTTATTTATTGTCATTTAATTTGATGTTATTTAATGTTATTTACTGTAGTATTAACATCATGCCGCATTATGCTGTTCCCTTTACAATAATCATGTTTGAATATTATTGTATTGGCATCTCGTCTCTCAAAACAATTTTGCTGCCAGCCTCTGCTTTCCTGTCCATGGCCTGGATGGCCTGGCTCAAAGGCAGCTCGGGCGAAGAAATCTCATTTACAAACAAACCCGTCAGACCTTTCAATAAAAGAAAACAAATATATAAGGGACCTCTCTAAAAAGGCCCCTCAGTTTGCTTCTCATATCTTCAGAGTACTTTGCTAAGCGCCACTCCTGGTCTTTGCTTCTAACCTGGCACGCCTTCGCAATCCTGTCCTCCAGGATGTCAACGGAGCTGCTTGCTGCCTTCAGATCCAGCTCGTCCCCTGCCGGCCAAAGCACGGTTCCGGGCAAATGTCAAGATACCACTCGATGCCATTGCCACCCGTGGTATTGGAGTATTGGTGGCATGCGACTTTGGGCATCTTGGAACTGTGAGGATATCAACCGGCTGTAGATTCGTGCGGGACCTGTTCACCATCTTGGCGCTCGTGTGGCATCTTGACAGTGCCTCGCCTAAACCATTCATCCTCTGCGCTGTCGATTCCATAAACCTGTTGAGTTTGTGGCCAGAAGGGGAACCCAATGTCGAAATGTGTCGACCCATGCAACAGTGTGCCAGAACGCAACAGCACGACAACCCAAGAAGCTGCCAAAGAATTGACAAATCCACAATCTGACTGAACCCTTTTTCTTCAAGAATCAACAACTATCAGAAGAGCTCAACTGCCGGTGTCCCGGTGCCGGCAAGTGACTGCTGAGTGTCACGGTCCACTTGATCGATCTTCTGAGCCATGCCATGCCCCAAATGGTTCAGCTGCTGTCGCAACCTTGGCGCAAATTAGCACAAATGACCAACACTATCGAACACAATGAAACATGACACTGTATAATCATCGTTCATCGTTCATCATTTCTCCACAGTTCTAAGAAGTGTTTTGCTGCAATAAATCACTATGGCCCTCTGCATCACCGAAAGAACTGAGCCCATCTTTTCCTCTCTAATGCCTCCTTGATGTCAGAAGGTATAGCTGCACACGGCATCACATGGCGACGCTACCTGGCCTGACCCCAATCTTTGGAGGTGGCCATTTGGATGGACCTTCCAGCAGCTCACAAACTGTCGGCCAATTGCTTAAATATCGGACGTGACTGCAGCCTACTCATCAATCGTCCATATGACTGTAGCCTGCTCGTCAATCGCCTGAACATCCTTGCTGCGCATTGTCCCACTTCAAAGATGCCTCACCGAAGCTTGATGCCAATAAGCTTTCCGGCCCGGATGTCATACTCCACGGTCGCAGAATCAACGCTACAAAGCACCTGTCAACTCAGGAGGGACAGTAGGTGCCATGCAATGGTCACAGGTATGGTCAGATTGTCCTACGATGTCGGCTCTGACGGCCTCGTCGCGTTCCAAGTACTCGAACTTGGCTCGGGCTACTCCAGTGCTCCAGTCAATACTTGGCGGCCTGAGACCAAACGGCGAACGAACCGGCATGCGAACTCCAGGACCGTTTCCCAGGACGAACCAACTGGAAGGGAAGCCACACTCCTATGTCCTAAGCCATTCCATTGAATCTTGACTGTGGCCTGCATCTTAACGGTACAACTTCAAGCAACAGCAACAATGTATCAAAGGCAACGGCTCGGACAGCTTCACAAACTCTTGCCAGTTGTCTGGGCTTTGGTCCTGGGAGAGGCAATGAGGAACTTGATTCTTGATGGTTGCATGTTGCCAATCGTACCAAGAAGCTACTAGGGGCTCCTGGCCTTACTACTAGGAGCAAGGACGCTACTAGGGGCTCCTGGCATCGCTACTAGGAACAAGGACGCTACTACTATTCACTCAGTGCACTTGAGATGCTGCGCCTTGGGCACACACCAGGCTCTAGCAGCCGACTCCAACAAGTCCTGGAGTGGATGCTCAGGACATCTCAGGACCCCCGCGCAGAACAAAGGTATACAAAGGTTATGTTGGAACTTTTCTGTGGAGGACCTCTTTGGTGCAACCGTTTAGGCTCCTGCACTGTCTTTTCAGAGACTTCAACTGTGTCTGGTTTCTGGGCCACGCTGCAAGGTGCCTGTGCCGAGGACAGCTCAAAAAGGAACAAAATGGTGCCTCCAAATATGGCGCCAGCACAAACGAGGGCGCCGCTACTAGTAACAAGGGCATTACCACCACTAGGAACCTTACTAGAAGCAAGAAGCTACTAGTAGCTCCTATCAAGGCTGACTGATGGCACCTCCATGGCCAAGTGCCGGAACCATCGGCTGCACTCGAGCCAGCGTGGCGCCATTTCGAGCATTGACATGGCCACAGTTGTAATCATGATGCAGCGAAATTGATGATGGCTAATTGTGAAGGAAAAAACTAACAGGCCGCTCTTTGTGGACACTGTGGCTTCACGGACGTACAAGCGGCGTACTTAAGTCAACCCGCGTCGCGTGAAGTCAACTCACTGCTCGGGCACAAGGTTTCAGCGAGAAGTCAACCCACTCGCGTGAAGTCGACACATTTTGGTCAACGCACAGTGGGCACACTTGAAAAATGGGCGCGGGAAAAGTGTGCGCACACTGTGTTATGGCTGGCATTTGTCCTTGCTTTCTGGATGTTTCAAGCCCAAACCTCAATGGCACAGCACCGTTCACACCAATGCGCAACTTAGAGAATAGGTTGCATGCGCACACACACACACAAGTGACTATAGGCCTCTGCGCGGGCCCCGCGCGACCCCGCGCGAGGTTCGCGCGAGCACGACTCCTAGACCCTACAGCTTCCTACGGTCAACCAAAACAGAAGCAGCAGGCGCAGCAGCAGCTAACCAGAAGCAGCAGCAGTAGTGGAGCATGGGCCCAAGGAGCTCTGCATCAAAACTGTCACAAACCATCACAAACCCTTGACCCTTCACCCTGTGGAAGCTGCCCTGCCCCAAAGAACAGATTCATAAATACAAAAAAAGTGACAATCGGGCACACCACAAAACATGTGTTATAGATCAATACAATCTATGCTTAGACATCCCTGTGGAGTGCGGTTCTGCAAGGGCACACGGTTTTGAGTCGACTTTACACAAGCTGAGTCGACTTAACGCTAGTACCTAGTATTGCTCAGGGTCTGGCTGGGCCATTTCTGCGTGGTCAGCCTTCTGGTTGAGTAATGTCCTCTGATCTGCTACCTGCACCATGTTGCCACACACTTGCAACTTCGGAACGTGAACTGTGCTTTTCTTTGCACCTAATATCATCTGAAAGCAACTTGAAGCCCCAAACTTCCCTTCAAGTGCTTCATTGCTCCTTCTAGCGCCGTTCTGCCCCAACTTTGGAGAGATATACCACACCTCATTGGATAGCTTCTCGATGTGCGCGGACATCCTGACAGTTGGGAAGACTTGATATTTTCGATGTGCAATCTAAGGTATCTAAGGAAGCCTTACGCTATTTCAGTATCCATCATCCATGCTTTGACATGTGCAGACCGGGTGTCCAGGAGTCCAGGATGTTGAGGCCCGGGCTGTTCAATTCGAGGGCCGAGTAGGCTGAGGCCATGCAGCATGTCATCCATGCTGGTCCTACCGTGCGGTCTTGGCAAGGGCAAAACAAAGGAACTGCTTGCGACACGCCAATAAAAGAGAGCTATTTGAGACTAACGAAATGTACGAGCAATGTAGTGTTGCATGAAGTTTATCCAAGCACTCCTCCAGCCAAAGCTATGCGCGAAAGTGCGCTTTGCCCTTCACGGATCGCATGAGCCGCATACTGAGATGGCAGCAGATTTCGCCAGAACTGGGATTTAACCTCCACAAAGCAACTTTAAAAAGCTAGCCTCCTTGCAAAACCAATATCCGCAAGGAAACATTTGACGAGCTCCTTCGCACTAAACCCAGCTAAGTCTAATCCATATTTCGGAGTTGGCTGGGCGCAGTTTGTTCCACAAACGAAGTTCTACCATTGAAGCACGACGAAGCACTGAGTTTCAGCGCAACGGTCATCCATTTTCCGGCGAAAACCAGTCCGAGACAGACTCCAAAGCTGTGAAATCAAATTTAGCCATCAAAGTGGCTCCAATCGCTTCCAAAACAAAAACGATTTATACAGTACCTGGACCCGTTCTTGTTGTTGAGTCATTCTTCTATGGAGGAATGTACGACACATCGTGGCTCTAAGTCTCTAAGGTTTGATCAATCTTCAGGACTCACCCGGAGGATTTGAGCCAGTTTATCTCTGAATCTCGCACAGCATGGCTTCAGTCGGTTGTGAGTTGTGAACTCCAAAAGAATAACATGGCTTGGAGAGGGTTCCATTTAGAGCCTGAAGCCATGCCGTGTCATGCCACCTAACTGGTGCCAGCCTGGTGATCTTTACGTTACAGGGCTGCGGTTGGGGCACGAATTTCTTCAGGAGATGGGACAATCATCTCGAACGTACTTCCCTGGACAGGTCAAATCACCACGCTGAGCAGTACGGCTGAGTAATGTCACGACCATCATGCAGTGATGCAGCTGATACAAATCGCACAAACATATCAAAAAAGGCACCGTGCAACACATGGTGCTTCTGGGCCTTGCTTGAAGTTCTGGTACTCCTCTGGAAAGAGAACCTACAGGTATGTAAGTCGAAGCACGTTCTAGCAGCGACATGTCACTTGACGGGGTTACAGCTCCAGCCGTCTCATTAACTGAGCCAATCTGGGCACATCCAAGCTGCAGGACGAGGCATGGCTTGAGAAACATCTCCGTGCAAGGCTTCTTGCAAAGTTCGGAGCCCCAAGGTCCCTTAGATGCCAAGGACATGTAAAGGTATGGGCTGCCCCGGCAAAAGGGAATGCACAGCACGAAAACTGTGGTGCAAAGTATGCAACTCTCTCTTCCAACATTTGGTTGATTGACTTGGTCGCTATTTCGCTAAGGTGGGCTCATCTTTGGTATTCCATGGCTGTTGCAGTCTGAGGGTCGTCCCCAAATGTCCTGGTCGGCGTTGTAAGATGGGTTGGCCTCATTAAACGGGATGCCCTCTGGCCTCACCTGCTCCTGCAAAGCAACTCGAGAATTCTTCCTATGCGTTCGTTTGGCACCTGTCCGATTTCTACATGCGGCACTGACACTGGGTATGCAAATGCATGTCTGAAAAACTATATAGATGTCCACAAGGTGGCTCACAAGTTCATGAGGCCACAAGTTCGCTTGTTCATGCTTGTTCAAAACTATGTATATAGGTAGCGAAACCTGACAAACACCATGTGCCGTAGGGTCTTTGCTCCGTCCTGAACCGGCAAAGTGAGGCCGGCCGTTCGCAAGCGGCCCTCCCAAGCGATGATGGCTTCGCTTGAGAGCTCCTTCTGAATTGACTGACCTCATCTCAGCCCCCGTCCCATGCCTGGAGCAACTATACTTTCATGTTTTGGTCGAAGCGCTCAGCTTCAGATTCTACTTGTAGCTAGTCTAGAGTCACTACTAGTCACTTGCTGTTTGATTAGACAAAGGGGAACGTTCAAAACCACATCGGTGCCAAACCGAATCACCACCCGATCCGTAACGCTCGGCTTTTCTCTGTGTCCGAGTTGGATGCCGACCGTCCTTGCACTCTCAAAGCATCACGGGCAGCGCATAGCTCACCAGGCAAAACCAATGGGATTGTTATCAAGCGGACACATGCCGCGAGCACACCACCCATCATTGAACAACACCACCCAGCTACTTGGAGCAAAGAAGCAAGTCGAAACACTGATGATGCTTGTTGCAAGGAAGCTCTTGCTCCTCTCAATTCGCGGCCTTTGAATTCCATGTTGAGGCCCAACAGATTGCCTAGAACATAGGCGCCAAAGCCTCCAAGCGTACCTAGGAGGTTCCCCAAGAACTGGCCAAGACCGAACAACCAATGCCCACCAAGGATTGTTGAGAAACTCCCACCAAGCCCATTGGCTGAATGGACCAACAAATCTACAGACGCAGAGTGTAGCCAGTCTGACACACCAATCGCTGGCAATGGGTTAGCAGCACTGTCGGCATCTGGAGCGGCTACAACGGCATAAGCTGCATCGAAGACTGGGAAGCAACACCCGATGCTCGATCTTCGGGATTGTCGCATACAGTGCCACTCTTGTAGAAATTCTGAAGCCTCAATCCTCTCATCAAAGCCCCAGGGGTTGCGTATACGCAACTGGACAATGTCCCCATTGTGGCGCTCGACTCCAATTAAGTTCACAAGATGTCCAGTGCCCTTGCGATAGTTAAGCATTAGAATCACCGCGTGTCCGTTCCGAAGATGTTCCGCCAAGTGCTCCATGGTGCCATGATTATAGTGCTGTGCCCGAAAGCCCAGCTGTCGAGCAAAGCGTGCAAGTGTCGAGGGCAACTCACCCAAATCCAGAGTACCGTATGGATGAATACGCTCCTCAATCAAACATGGGTTCAATGGAAGTCCCAAATACTCAAGACACATTGACAAGCAGGTCGATCCACATGATGGCCCAATCTGCTTTAGTAATGGCATCCTTCTTGCGATTTCGGCTTCTACATCCTTTTCCTCCATGACACCCGCAAGACCTCTTCCGCTTAAGAAATGCAAGGACGGCACGCACACACAACAAGTCAACAAGCAATGTGAGATGACATGTCGGGAGGAGTGACCACGGCCGGGCATCTAGTGTTCATGTCTTAGGGCTGAGCTGGCATTCACCTAGGCTTCTTTCCAATTCTATTTCCTAATCGTGCCAAACGTGTCAATAGCTGATGACGCCACTGGAACAAAGCTCACGACGAGCTTTCGTAAAAGCAGCGAGTACAAACCACAAGCAAATCAATGCTCAACTAGCCTTAAATGGCGGCAGTCAGGAACATGCAAAGACTCAACCATCATTATGCGATGTGCCCTGCCTTCGGTTTGCCTGGGAGAGCTTTGCTAGTGAGGTCAAGATACATACATGCATGTAGCAAATCAAAACCAACACCAAGCCTAAGGCCCTTAACTTGAAACGGCACCTTTTCGTGTAGCGGAATCCCATGGCTTTTTGAACGCGGGAAAATCTAAATGCGACCTTCACCGTCTTAAACCCACTTCCAAACCGAGATGCCATCTTCAGACTTCTTCTGCCTTGGGTGTAGAACGTGTTGGAGAACAAGGCAGGCACGCTGGCATGCGTTTCAAAGGCATGCTGCTAATCAATGCCAATCAAACATTCTGAATTGGCTGGCTGGGTGGCTGGATTTCAAAAGCAATGGCCGGATCCAGAACGGCGTTGTACTTCGGGTCCAGACAGTACCTCAATGAGTCGAAGCTGTCTTGAAACTGCTCAAATACTCTCCCTGGCTTTTCCTGGCTCACTACCACATTGACAAACTGACTGCAGCTGAAAAGCATTAGCCTTGCCACTCGCCAATCAATATCGTCCTGCCCAAAGAAAAGCAGGACCGGCAACTTGAGTTCTACAAGTTCTACAAATACGATGGTTTTAAAACACCTTAAATTCACAATGAAAGGCGGCCTTTCCGTCCACAAAATCTTGGTGGTCCCTGCTGTTCTATCTCCCAAACCGTCACGTGCAGTCCAGATTCTGCTGTGTTGCCCTGGACACAGGCTGGTCATAGCGTGAGGACACCTGGCCGCCATAGCCCACTGGACCTTGTCGCTGGTTGGTCAGCTGGTCCAAGGACCTTGGTCGCAAGAGTGCGATTCCATCCGCAAACTAGTAACAAGAAGCTACTAGGGGCTCCTGGCATCGCTACTAGGAGCAAGGACGCTACTAGGGGCTCCTGGCCGTACTACTAGGAGCATCCTTACTACTAGTAACAAGAAGCTACTAGCGACCATTCCGAAAAGAGTCCGAAGAGTGACCGGAGCTGAACTGGAGCCGAGGATCTGCACAAGCTCACGTCGCTTTGACAAAGCTGCATCCAGAGATTCATGAAGCTCCTGGACAAATAAAGTGCAGGTGAACTTGTGCCCGTTCAATGTTGTGGTTTCTTTTGATGGCCAATGCTGGTTCACAGTGGATTTGTGCAGTCAAGTTAGAAGCCTATCCTCTTGTTCCTTGGCATTTGGTGAAAGACTTTGGCCAAAGAAGCATCTGAATCTGCAATGCAAGGCAACAGCAGAAGCCGGCCAAGGCCAACGGGATAGGGGGCACACTCAGGACACGGCCACCGTTTGAGACACACACATCCTGTCGTACGAGCTGCATCTGTTGCTCTTGTGCTGCTGGCATCATGGCAGTGCCAGCACGGCTGCGATCGCTGCGCGCCTTATCATTCCAGCCCAGGCATTGACACAAGATTGTGTGCCCCAACACCTTACCCCAAAAGAAACCACGCATAGTGATGGGCAATAAACGTGTCAGCTGGTGGATGTTTGTTGGAAGCTTAGGGGAGAATCTTTTTTCGCTACTAGTATCTAGTAACAAAGGGCATCGCTACTAGGAGCAAGGGCGCTACTAGTAGCTCCTGGCCTTACCACTAGTAGCAAGAAGCTACTATAGCTACTAGGGTGGAGGCCATCGCGGAGAATCTTGTTCGCTCTCCCAGTGGCCGAGCTGAAAGGCGAAGCTCCATGCGGCTGCATCGCTCCCTGCGGCGACGAGCCCACGGAAAACATTGCGGCTCCACACGAAGCGCCGCCCTTGAGCTGCTTGGGCTTGGGCTGCAAAGTCAACGACCTTCAACCATTCTCCGATACACTGCCGTTTCATGTTGCAACTTAGCAAGCCGACTTGAGAGAGCACCTCAAACACATGGCAGCATGTCGATGCCCGCACAGGTCTTCGTTTTCCTCTTCTACAGTCTGTGTGACCCTCGAGCCATTATTTTAATGGACCGAGGTCAACTGCAGTGCTGCCTGTGGCGGCGAAACTCGGCACTTTGGGCACCATCACTTTGAGACTTAAAATAGCACTTCGGAGGACCCTCCAACATACTAAAACAGTCTTGAAGAGAGCAGTGTTGCTCATACACCAATCATCTCGGATCAGAAGTGTGTCAATGTTGGCTAGTCTTGTTATGTCAAGCTTGTGAGGGTGACAGCGAGTGAACAGGTCGACGGGCGACCATTCGACGCAATACAAATGCTAGGCGTCAAAACACCGGGTCTAGCTACTGGGCGAAGGCATGCGAATGCATGGTTGCAAGATGCTGCAGGCGACCCAGGACCAAGCTCATTGCTGAATTCCGGCGCTGCCCCATACTAGGATCAAACTTCAGTTAAAGAGCATCAACCCTTTAACGACTATAACCTTCTGTGCCAAAAGCCTCGTGTTTCAGTGTTGGGAATCAAAACGGAAATCAGCAAAGCTCGGCTGAAGTCGTCCTCACTAAAGGATACTAAAGGAAGGAACTGGCTTAGCATTCTTAATTTGTCAGGCAGCCATGACAGGCCTACTCAACCTCAGAGTCTGATCCAGCATTGAGTTTGGGCTGTCTTCTCGCCAGCATGATGATGAGCAGCGCAGCACCAACAGCACCAACAACGCCAAAGATGTTGATCAATGCCAGCTCGAGCCTTTGATTGTCCACGGAACCTGGCGCACTTGTTCGAACATAAGTCAAAGGGGAGTGGGGGCCAGTAAATGGTGATGTGTGTTTTTCCATCTCCAGTTTGCACTTGCCTAGGTTTTTGAACATGCGATACCTAGGCATGCGATTGAACACCGCAGCATTTATATAGTAAGTTGCAGTCGTAGAAAAGCTGCGGGCTTGCGCAACCTCTAAAGTCAACCAACATACGTAGTCGTCACATGGCGAGCTCGTTCGTTTGCGTGTTCCATGCGCGAGCTGAATGGCCGGCCTGTCGGGGCATCCCACTTCTGCAGAAAAGACGGTGACACGATTGGGTTGATTGCGGCCACCTCAGCTGACTATTCTGCAAGAGTAAGAAGTCAGAAACCAGTATCACCAGCACAGCAGACCAGCAGCTGTCCAACAGCTGTCCAGCAAACCAGAAGCAAAAAATCAGCACCACCACGCGGCTCTGATACTCTTGAATAAGCAAGCACCCTACTGATGCAAATGATGCTTCTTATTATAGACTTGCAGTTTCTGCATCTCAAACTCACACAGAGCGAGCTCTAGACAGTTCGTTTGCAGAAACTAACTTCACCATACTTCCCTAGCCTATCAGAGCCAATCGGCTGGGTTTCGTAAGAGCCAGTCATGGAACAAGGTCCACAAAAAAATAAAGGTCTGGCCTTTTGAAAGATGGCACCCATGCCACTGCCGAAGCCATGCTCCTTACGAGCCTCACACTTGTCCTTGAAGGTGGAGGCATCATTAAAGGGCAAGGCCTGGATCTGCACACGGCTCGCAAGATTTATAGTTTTTACTCTCAACTTACTTACTGTACATATCTTGATTCTGTCACTCTGCCGATTCTACATCATTCTACTAAGTACTATAAGCAAACAACACTCCTCACCCCCTTTCCTTTCCTTGACACCCTTGAGCCCTCTTGCCTCCTTCTCTGCATCTCCTACAAAATACCTCGACAGCTGAATTTGTGGTCGCGTCGGCGTCGTCGGTGTACCGTCGGTGCTTTCTTACCTGTGCACTTCATGACCTACGCCCGACATCGCCTTACTCTTCTAGCATGTCTGGTCTCAGTCGGCGGCGTTTCCTGAAGAACGACAAGACACATTCCGATGATGACGTGGCCACGCGAGCTGAAGTGTGCTCCACTCAACCTATTGTCCACGCAAGTCACTTCGGGTGCCTGCAAGTAGCGAAGTTGGAGACATTCGCAACAGAAAGCCGTTCTAATTCTACAGACTATGTTCCGCCGAAACGTGCCTGGCTCTTGATGAATGCGAAGTGACATTGAAACCATCAACTCACACTTGCAACATTATGCAACATCTGCAGCCTGCTCCTGGAGTGTGACTTGAGATCCAGTGAAGGGATCTTTGTACCCCTCCAGAAGCTTCGCAGAATTGGCACATGGATCGCCAATTACGAGGAAGGTGTAGGACCTGGATGCATTGAATGGACAAGGTGTTGCTCAAAACTGAGGCGCCACTCTGCTGTTGCTTCCTACGATAGGTCACCAATTGCATCTTAACCACTTTGCCCCTGAGGCAGTCTGGATCTCCTTCGTATCCGTCTTCACCGCAGACTGCGTATCGCAAATGCAGGGCCAGCAGCCTTGACAGTGAAACGATTCCCAAGTAGTCGTGTAGAGTCGTAGATAAAATCGTCTCCAACGGCCCCACATCCCCACACAAACAATGAAGGAGCAAGCCACACAACACAAACTGCTGGTGCAGCAGCTGGATTAGCCCTGCTGAAAAACCGAAACTGTCAGCCTGCATCTGCTATCCCGTACCATTTCACCTTTTGCTCTACACTCATGACACCTGGCCTTGCGATCCCAAGTTCGAGCCTGACCATTCATACTCATTCATACCATTATTGTCAGCATTTGGCCAAGGCACAGTGGTGTGTAATCCCCGAGACCTTTTCACCAGTGACACTTGACAGTGTACTATAAAACCGCGTCTGGGGCTGATCTGGCAAAGGTGACCCGCTGACAGGGCAAAAGCCTCGCGAAAAACTGCAACACATGCCATCAAAAGCTTATTGCTGGAACATGTTGGAACATACCTGCTCAAAAATAACCCATAAGAAAAGGGAACGGAATCATTGAAGCATTTTCAAAAATCCTTTTTGATGAGAATTCCTCACCGGGACTCTGGCCTCTAAAAAGCGTCTCTAGCGTCTTTGCCTCCAATTGAGCAGCTCGATCTAAAATATAACCTCAACGTGTTGCTCAACCACGAAGCCTTTAGCCGCCTCTAAAACTCCAAATTGGCAAAGTCCAGAAATGAGAAGAGCCCCGCTTCCACATCCAGCAAGTCACTAGCTGGCCTCAGCACAAACTCTTATCGGCCTGCCAAGCTACTAGACCACAGGTGGGAAGCGGCATTGCGATTCCCGGTCTTGAAAATCTGCTCATAGTGCGACACCTGATGCCAAACTGGCAACTCGGACAACCAAGCTTCAAGACAAAGGCAAGTGGACATCAGCCTGTACCTGTACCAAAATTGACTCGGACAAGCACACTGGAAGAGTATGCTTCATTAGTTTCGAGTGAGTCACTGTCGAAGGTCTGAGGAAAAGCTTAAGCCATAATGTTGAGCAAATTGGAAAATCACTCGGAACCCCTTTTTGAGAAAAGCGTCCAGCTCGTCGATGCTTGTGGGCACTTCTGTTGCAGCAACTGCAGTCAAAATTAAAGTAAAGGCCCACGGCATGGCACGAGCAAGCGCTACCTACCTCTTTCACCTTGGAAGATTCTAGGATGAGACATGTTTTGATACAAACCCTTGCACTCACAATTTGATGGGCTGCACTTTCGAACATTCCAGATCAAATTCAACTTTGTGCAAGCATACTAGTACGGTGATGAGTTTATATTCCTATGAGTTCATAGGTATATATATATATAT